TTACAAGTATACCAAACTAACGAAATGCATCGTTGGTAAAAATTAATTACTTCTGTTATAAATTTACCAAGAGCCTGGCCACTATCAAGCTTTCTCAATAATAACAGTTTTTCTTCTTATGGTAAAAAATTGCTATCCATACGCTCTAGAAGATTATATTTAAATCTTCTTAAGTCAGAAATAATATCTGTCTCGCTTACTTTTTTTTATTCTTCTTCATGTGCCATCTCCTTTAAGAAGTTTGGCAACCATCATGGCAATTCGCACTGTCGATACCGCTGCTCTAAAGAGGTCAGCAGAAGTGCAGTTAAACCAAGATCTCAAATTATTTAACCAGGAGATGCATCTTCTTCCGTGACCTCTACTACCCTGTATTCTTCCTTGCATTATAAATTGCAACAAGTTATAAAGCTCGACCATCACGACATGTCCCAGATATTCCAATTTTCTGACTTTAGTTGTATTTAAAACCTCTTCTCATTCTTCTTAACACCTCGATATTCGTGACTCTATCCACCCAATTTATTCTTAATATGCTTCTATAAACCCATAAACCGAAGGCTTCTAATCTATCCGAAACATCTTTCTTTAATGTCCAAGCCTCCAACCCATAAAATAATACGGAGAACACGTAGCATCTCAGAAGTCGTATCTTTCAAGAAATTGAAATGCCCGTGCTGCAGAGTACTTTTTTCAGTTTGTTGAAAGAATTTCTTGTCTGTCCTATTCTTGCCTCAATCTCCTCTGTGTACTCATTATTTTCGTTAATTATTGTACCCAGATAATTATGTTTTTCGACTTTTTTAATTTGTTCTCCATGTATTGTTATATTTTCTTGGCGCTGTAGGCCTTTTGCAATTACTATAAATTGTCTCTTTTTTGTGCTTAGGGTCAGTCCGTTTACTTCACTGACTTCTATCTCATTGTCAACCATTTGTTGTAAATCCTTAAGACTTTCCGCTAATAAAATAGTGTTGTCGGCAAACCGTATATTATTTGTCACAATTAGGTTATCTTGTTAGAATAAAGGACAGTAGAGAGGTAAAGAACATAGCATGAAGAATACTAGAAAATAAGAGGAAAAGAGGCAGACCGAGGAGAAGATGGAGGGAAGCAGTTGTGGAAGATCTACAAGAAAAGAAGATAGAAAATTGGAGGAAAGAAGCTAGAGACAGAAGAAGGTGAAAGAGAATTACTAAGCTATGAGCATGAAATGGCCTGCTACAAGCTTTTATATGTATGGTCCATTCCCAAACCCAAAATATAAATCAACTGTTTTATTTTGAAAAAAATCTCCCAAAATCTAGTAGCGTCACATGTACACCTTCCAATGGCAAAAAGTATCAATAATAGGTGCAAGTTTTATGTGTTTTCAATTTAAAGTGTCATTGGTAAAACTTAGAAAAAGAACCGTTTGTAAATCGGTTAAACCAGTTAATTAATCTCGGTTAAACCGACACGTATGGTAGCCTAATCATGACCTACAATTCATTGGTAACTGGGGAAATTTGACAACAAATTTGATAAGGTGGCCAGTTGTTTACAAAAATAAAATCATTTTCCTTACATGTATTATATTTACTATAAGTAAATAAGGTTGCGCCCTACTCGGGCAAAATTTTTTTGATCATTCAATTTAAAACTTTTCAGAAAAATTCTGTATTTTGTTTTATTATAGAGATATTATACAGGGTGTCCAAAAACTCTCATGACAAACGAAGACCGGAGATTCCTTAGATAATTCTAAGACAATTTAACTCGATTCTCCCAATACGAAAATGCTTCCTAATGGAGCTAGAGCTCTTTGAAGATGACGGCTTGTAATTAGTTATTTACCTCCAGAACGCTTTATGTTACAAAAACACAAACTGGTACGATTATTTATCAGCCAGAGTTGAATCGAACCCATCAATTGCAAATTTTTAGTACCGCTTATAGGCGTCCATTTTGGGTAGGGAAGTGGTTATTTTAACGCGTTACTTTTTTATCTTTACCTTTTAAGAATCAGTTATAATAAATTATTAAATTTTTAGGTATTCTACTACTAACAGGTACTTCTATCTTAAGTCGGTAGGACACACTGTTTTCTAGAAAAATCTTTATGAAAATTTACTTTCATTAATTTTACAATTTTTTTTTGTTTTAATAAATGGGGCATACAATTCATCAAATAAGATTGAAAAAGAAGCAAAAATAAAATGTTATTTAAAGGGTTTTAAAATAAATTATTTATTACGATGGAACGAAATTAACACAAACGACCAAGTATCAAAAGCAGATTCTTAAAAAAGATGTTACATGTTGATGACCATTAGTCTCTATGTATAAATTTGTCCTTTTTCTTATAAAACGCCGATTTTTTGAAAAAATTCCAAAACTATTTCCAAATTCGTTGCAAGAATCTTGTATTCTTAGCTAGAGTTGTGCACGATTTTGTATCGAAATGGAATAAACAAATTCTTTTATGTATCCCCAAACAAAATAATCGCAAGGATTAAAATCCGGTGATCTTGCTGGCCAATCAACTAGACCGCTTCTTCAAATCCAGTGATCTTTGTAGTTATTATCAAGAAAGTCTCGTACATTCCTGCTAAAGTAGGTCGGACAGCCGTCATGTAATATTCTTCTTCCTTTGTAAAATGAAAAGGATATCAATTTTTGTTGTGTAAGATATATCCTACAAAAGATTTTAAAACTGTTGCATACATGGCAGATAGTTTTCGAATGCTAATTTTCAAATTTTTCTCAACTTTAGACATTTTTCTCAAACCGAACATGGTGAACTAGGTGTGACTAAGACACCTAAACAGCTGCAAAATTAAAACTCAGCAAGGTGCAAAGACTTGCGTATATGGGGATAACTGGTACCATGCTTATTACCCTAACAGCAGCTATGGAGGTTCTAGTTGACCTACATCCCTTGAATTTAATAATACAAGGAGAAGCAAGATTGGGAGCCTACAAAATAAAACAATCACTGAAACTTGGTAATGTGGACAGAGCATATAAGTATTACAAGGACGGTGACAAGGGATATTTTTAAGCAGAAACAGGATCACATGACACAAAAATACAATTGTAAGAATTTATGTAGGGTGTCTATTCCAGACAGGAATATATGGAAAAATAAGGAGTATTATAACCAACAGGATATGATCTAGCATGCAGATATATTCAAAACTACAAAAGATGTGGGGGTAGGAATATACTTCAATAATTCAAGAGTTTACTCGCATATGCAGATGACATAGATCTCGTTAAAGACACCATCCTATCCACGAAAGACATCTTCATCAAGGTGGAAGGAGCAATAAGTAAAGTAGGGCTGATGATTAATGAAGAGAAGACGAAATATATGTGTATAAATAGAACGACACGAAGAGACATAATAGGACAAAATGTGACGGTCAACACCTTCAATTTCGAAAGAGTACAACGTTTTAAGTATCTGGGGGCCGTAATCACAGCTGACAACGATGTTACTGAAGAAATAAAAGATAGAAATCAATCTGCAATCCGCTGTCTATTCGCACTGGATTACCTCATAAAATCAAAGTATCTTACAAGAAGTTCAAAGATCAAAATCTATAAATCCATCGTCAGATTTGTAATAACATAAGGATGCGAAACGTGGACCATGACCAAAGCAAACGAAGAAAATCTCAGACGCTTTGAACGAAAAATACTTGAAAAAATCTTCGATCCTCACCATGACATTACTACAAACCAGTATAAGATCAGAACCAATATCAAATTAAAAGCACTCTACAATGACGCCGATATTGTCCAAGAAATTAAATCACAGCGACTAAGATGGGCAGGCCACGTGCACAGACTACATAACGAGAGACTTGTAAAACTGGTATGGTAGGAGATTCCCATAGGCAAAAGGAGGAGGAGATTCCTACTCGAACGTCCCAGAATGCAATGGACAGATAACATCCAATCAGATCTCCGGAAAATGAACAGTCCATTTGACCCTAGGTTGATGGAAGATCGAACAAATGGGAAAAACTTGTACAGACAGCCAAGACTCACCCAGGGTTGTAGCGCTACGTAATGATGATAAATTTAAAAATCAGCGAAAGTTGTTGCCTTGGGGAGGAATTGCGCTGTTCTTCAAGCGGAGATTTAAGCGGCACTGCAATGTGCAAAAGGAAATAATAAAAGAGCTCTTACAAAGAGCAGATCCATATATTGTCTGACAGTCAAGCGCCACTTGACTGACAGTCAAAGCACTGGTTTATCAGAAAGTGGTCTGGGTACCAAGACATCAGGGCATCGAAGGCAACGAGAAAGCAGATCAACTTTCAAAAATAGGATAGAACGAATTAAACGAACCTGCTGTAACTCTAAGGCTGCAACCGAAGGGCTGTAGGAGACTGGATAAGAGAGAGTCATAAACGATATTGGGAGAAAATCCCAGAATTAACACATGGAAAAATTTTCATGGGTATATCATGCAGAAAATAAATGGGGGCTGCTTTATATAAGCAGAAACTTCAGAACAGTAACAGGAATATTGACCGGGCATGCACCAGTAAAAGAATTTATTAATTAAACAGGCATTATAATAAGGAATTTTACTGCAGTCTCTGTAATAAGGAACTCATCACCCAGCCCTTTGCGTCCACTGCTGGACATAGGCCTCCCTCATTTTTGTCCATTGTGCTCTGTCTTGCGCACGATAAGAAACTAAAAACTGTAAAATATGTATTATGCGATTGCGAGACGCTGGACCGTGAAAGACAAACACTGTATGGATAACCAAAAAACACTGATATATTTATAACACATCAAGCAAAAGACCTATAATTAAAAATTTACTTTATTGTCTTATTAGTTATAGAATGTTATTTCTATCATTATTATAAATAATGACAAAATCATCTTGATAGCTAACACTAATCAAATTAAGCTGGTAATTAAAAATATCACTTTTAACATTTAATACTAGCGTCTGTAAGTTTTAATAATTTTTAATAATAACTTTTTTTAAGGCTCCAGAACCAGCTGTTCCATGGCAGGGAGTTCGAAATGCTACAGTCGATGGTGATTCGAGTTATCAAAGAAATGATTTTACTGGGAAAATTGAAGGATCAGAAGATTGTTTAAATCTTAGTGTATATACTAAAACGGTAAATACGTTTTTTTAATGAATATTATTTTTTCATCTAAATTCATCCAAAGTGTCGTCTTTTTATAGGCAGTTTTTCTTCATAATAATTTAATTTGACTTTTCTACGGATGCTTAAATAAGTAACCGCACAAAAAATGTATCATTATTCTGAAAAAAATTTATCATATTTATGTATTCTTAATAGTTGCCATCGGGATGCAACAAGCTCAAGCCTGTTATGTTTTGGATTTATGGAGGTTCCTTTCTAAGCGGTAGCAACAAAGGTAATCTGTATGGACCAGAACACTTAATGCTTGAAGACATCGTGCTAGTTTCTGTAAACTACCGCCTTGGATTCTTGGGCTTTCTTCATTTGGACGATACCACCTTAGACGTCCACGGTAATGCTGGCATAAAAGACCAACAACTAGCATTGAAATGGGTGCAACAGAATATTAGAAGCTTTAACGGAGATCCTAATAACGTTACAATATTTGGAGAGAGTGCTGGTAGTGAGTCTGTGCATCTTCACATTGTTTCCCCTTCGTCGAAAGGACTTTTCCATAAAGCTATTTTGCAAAGTGGTTGTCTTTTAAATCCTTGGGCGTATTCGAAAGATTATGGACTAGAGTTTGCTAAAAAATTTAAAGAAAATGTTACAACAGAGAAGGAAGCTTTGGAGGTTTTGAAGAAAGTGCCCGTTGATAAGATATTTGAAGAACAAGAAAAGTTTTATGCGGTAAGTAAAGGTCTTAAAAAGTAAGTAAAAAAATATAACCTTATGTAAAGTATTTCTTCTTGTATATTTCTTGTCTTCATTTTACTTCTGCTTACCTACTTCAAATGCCTCAACACTAGGTTGAGATTATCTCTCTTCTGCTGCTCATATTTTTTCTATTTTTCATGATTTTGTAACAATCTGTCATTATCTCTATTTATTTAATTCTGTTTAATTTATTATTTAATTTGCTGAAACTGGTATTATATTTTGGCCTAGTATAGACCAGAAAGGCATTTCTAAAACTGAGATAATTTTTCACCAACCGAAATCTTGATCTAACACTGCAATATCTCATTTTAAATGTATTTCCATATGTATAGATAGGATATCTATATTCACAGTATCTTACTACATTGCACGGAAGCCTTAACGTTGACAATTAGCCTGTTACAGCACGATGCCTGGAAAACTTTAAAATAAGGATATTTGGCCACTTTCTGAAAATTCTATGGACTGACCATATTAGAAACGAATGAAGTTAGGAATCATGAAATTTAAGAAATTAAGAGATCTAAGAAATAGAAAAAGAGTGAAAAACATCTTATCTTGGACATAGTATAGTAAGACACTGGAGATAGAAGTACAATCTTCTGCAGTTAATAATGCAAGACAAGACCACTAATGGACAAGAGAAAAATGGCCAAAAATGACCTAGACAAATATGAAACCATAAATAAATTAATAAGAACGAGAATGAGAGAAACGAAAGAAAAATAAGTAAGGGAAAAACATGAAAAAATTAAGACTCTGCAGTCAAAGTACGATAGTCACAATGTAGATAGAAAATGTAAGGGACTCACAGGGAGACTAAGACGAAGGCAGAAAGAAAATATAACTGATTCTGTCGGAAACATCATATTGGACAAACAGAGTAAAATAAAAACGTGGAGAGAATATCTGGAAAAACTATTTAAAAACCAAAGAGATAGCAACTTTGAGCTAGAAGAAGAGGTAAATGATGGACCGAGAATATTACGACAGGAAGTTAATTCCGCAATAACACAGTTAAAGGATGGCAAAGCAGCATGCAATAATAATATACAAGCCGAACTACTCAAACTTATGGACAACGAATTAATAGCAATAATTGAATAGATATTCAACAACATATACAACGCTAGAGAATTACCAACAGAATGGCTGAAATTTGAGCTTTCAAAAAAACCAAGAGTCAAAAAATGCGAAGATTACCGTACTATAAGTCTCATCTACTAAAATTGTTCCTAAAGATAATTCATAAGATAATCTGCAAGCTGTGTAAAAGTCAAATTTTCCAAAATCAGTTCGGATTCACAAATGCTGTTAGTACTAGAGATGCTTTTTTCGCAGTAAAAATTTTATTAGAGAGATGCAGAGACATCAACTGCAACGTATACGCATGTCTGGTTGATTAAGAGAGAGCATTTAATCGAGTCCGCATGCCTTCTTCTTCTTTGGGTGCCGTGTCTGTATTCAGACGTTGGCCGTCATCATGTTTACAATTTCCTTAAACCTTTCTCTGTCGGCTGCTACGCGAAATAATTCTTCTACTGTGAAACTACACCATTGTCTAATATTACGTAGCCATGAAAGTTTCTTTCTACCAATCCATCTCTTTCCTTCCACTTTTCCTTGTATTATAAGGTGAAGTAAATGGTATTTGGGTCCTCTAATTATATGGCCGAAGTATTCTGTTTTTCTCCTCTTTATGATGTTTATGAGCAGACGTTCTGAGTTGATCATTTGAAGAACATCTTCATTGGAAGTGTGCGAAACATACGATATCTTTAGGATTCGTCTATAGCACCACATTTCGAATGCTTCTAACTTGTTTAGCATTGTGGTTTTTAACGTCCATGTCTCACAACCATATAATAGGATCGACCACACATAACATTTCAGGACCTTCTTACGAATGTTCATTGACAGGTTTCTGTTGCATAAAACTGGTTTCCAGGTCATAAAAGCCTTACGTGATATTTCGATCCTAGATATTATCTCTTCATCAGAGTCACAATTTACATTTAACCAGCTGCCAAGGTATTTGAAATGATTTACCATTTCTATCTCTTCTCCATTAAGAGAAAGCAGACCTTGATCTATATGGATCTTTCCAACTGCCATCCACTTTGTCTTTGAAATGTTGATTTTTAGGCCTCTCCGATAACTTGCTTCACTGACTAGATTTAGTAATGTTTGGAGATCTTGTAAACTTTCTGCAAGAATGGCTGTATCGTCAGCGTATCTAATATTGTTGATTACTTCTCCACCTAGTCTTACTCCCTCTTGTCTGACATCCAAAGCCCCCCTAAAGATTTCTTCAGAGTACAGATTAAAAAGAGTGGGTGACAAAACACAACCCAGCCGTACTCCACGTTTGATGATTATTTTTTCAGTGGGACTGTCTCCAATTTGGATAGAGGCTACTTGATTGTAATATAAGTATTTCAGCAGTTTTATATCATAGTGGTCAAGTCCTGCTGCCCGTAGGCAGTCGAAAAGTGTATTGTGTTGGACTCTGTCGAACGCCTTCTCGAAGTCGATGAAACAAACATAAACATTCTTTCGGAATTCACAACTTTTTTGTGATAGAACGCGCATACAGAATAGTGCCTCTCTAGTTCCTAGACCGTTTCTAAATCCAAATTGCTTATCACCCATCTTACTTTCGCATAGAAGGAATACTCGGTTTTGTATAATTCGTAAGAGTATCTTCAGTGTGTGACTCATCAAACTGATTAGTCTAAAATCGCTGCATTTGGTGGGCCTGCTTTTCTTTGGTAATGTTATAAACAGTGACTCTAACCAATCATCTGGTATTTTTCCTTCGTTGTAAATTTTGTTGAAGAAAGTGGTTAAGCAGGCAATGCTTTCCTCATCCAAAAGTTTAAGTAGTTTGGCAGGCATTTGATCTGCTTCAGGTGCTTTATTATTTTTGGCTTGCTGTATTGCCTTTTCGACTTCCAAATTTAGTATATTGGGACCTCTGTCCAACTGGTTGTCATAGTCAGTATTTGGAGCATTTTCCCTAGAAGCATCGTCAAAAAGGTCAGTGATGTATATCTCCCATTCTTTGCACTGTTGTTCGTGATCACAAAATTTCCGTCCGCGCTTTTAAGTATGTGAGCATTTTTCTGTTTTCTAATTCCGGCAGTATATTTAAGTTTCTTATGCAGGTTAAAGCTGTCATGCTTTTTTTGGAGGTCTTCTATTTCTTTACATAAATTCTCAAGCCAGGATTCTTTGGCTTGCTTAATTTTTCTTTTTATGCGTTTATTAATTTCATGATATTCGATAATATTTCCATTTTTGTGTTGCCGTCGAACTTCCATCAGATCTAGAATTTCTTGTGTCATCCACTCATTTTTTGCCAACATGGTAGGTGTTTTCAAAGACTCTTGTACGTTCTCTAAAATCGAGTTTTGAATGGCATACCAGCATTCGTTAATGGTTCTGTTTTCGTTTGGTATATTTGATATTCTGTGTATTTTACTATTTATTTGCTGTGTTATGTGTTCGCGCGTTTGAGGGTTTTTCAGGGGGTCGAGATGTATCTTATAAGGCTTAGTTGGCTTTGTTAATTTTAGTTCGCTTTTTAAGTCGTTAGCTTAGTCCGCACGCCAAGTTGATGCAAATACTAAAAGAAGCAGGAATTATTAACCAACATCTGAAAACATTTAAAAATCTTTACTGGAATTAAACTGCAAATCTCAATGTTAAAGGTGAACATACTCAAAATCATACGTAGAGCGAGGCAAGGCTGTATTTTGTCTCCTCTAATCTTCAATCTGTACTCTACAGATTTCAGCTCAACTCTACGTCAACCAATCCTCTGTAGAATGGGTGACGCACTACAACTACCTTATCACCATAATAAATGAAGAATTGACCAACAACCAGGAGATTAAAGCACGCATTAAAAAAGCTAGATCCACTTCAATCTGATGGGGGCCTTCTTTAAGAGTCACAACCTCTCTCTTTATATAAAAGTAAGAATGCTGCGATGCTACGTCTTCTATGTTCTTTTTTTATAGTATTGAATAGAGGACCTTGAATGAAAATATATGCAGAAAACTGGAAGCATTTGAGATGTAGCTATATCGGAGAATACTTAAGATCCCGTGGACTGACAAATGAGGAGTCCTTAGGAGAATCAATAAGAACCGAAAGGTACTAACCACAGAAAGAAGAAGAACACCTTCGTTAAACAACCTTAGAATCTGGTTCAATACAACATCTGTGCAGCTTTTCCGCGCTGCTACAGATAAGATAAAGATTGCCATAATAATCGCCAACATTCGTAATGGATAGGCACATCAAGGAGAAGAAGAATAATGAAAGGAAACCGAGATTTTTGCAAAAGACACATAACAGTGCATAACATTAAAAAGGCACCAGCAATTTTCAGATGATTCAATACTGTTATTAATCGGATAACAGTTTTGATTTTTAAAATTTTGACAACCAAATTTTTTATTGGTAGATAGTCTTTTAATTTTTTATTTCTCATATCATGTCTATATTTTTTTAGTTATTTTTCATGTAGTTTTTAATTGAAACCTGCTTAAAGTAAATCTATTTTTCTCGTGACTCTACTTTTATGACGCTCGCATTAGCATTTTACTATAGAGACTAAAGTAATACAGCGCCAGTATAGAACTTCGTTTCAAAAATAAAAATTTCTCCATCAACTTTTTCTATCATGGAAATTATAACACAAGATTTTTTTCGGAAAGCAAAAGAGTGAACATTAAAAAAAAACAAAAAGAATAGCTTTTGTAAAACTTAGAATAGGAAATTAATAAAATCTAATAAGAAAACATAGATGAAAAGGACTGGAGAGGCGAACGAGGTGAAAATTGAAAGTAGGATGTTACAAACGCAGTAGGTAATTGAAGGTATTTAAGCAGTTTATTCTCCAACAACTACATTATTGATTAGAATGTCTTCTCCTTACATTTACTGACATATGTATAAGGGTGAGGTAGAATTTAGAAAAGTCGCTTTGCTTATTTTATAGAGAAAGGTCCACGTTCAAAAATTAAACCCTAACTCTATATGAGAGAAACGCTAATCCGAAATTTTCAGTGCAATTGTTCCACAGTATAGTAGAAACATATATTTCTTCTATTTACATAGCTTTTAAACGATTATTTGTTTTTTGTTGCTATTTGTTAAATAAGAATTTAATTTTTTAGTCAGTAAGTACCACCGATCTCATAGCTCCGAATATAGAAAAACCAAACAAATCAGCAGTAATAACATCTCATCCTGTGGAACTAATTACCAGAGGACAATATAATAAAGTTCCTATTATAATAGGTTACAACAATCGCGAAGGATTATATGTAGAAGTAGTTAGAAGATTGGTCGCTGCTGCCGAAAATAAGTCACCAGACGAAGAGAAACCTGAAGATTTTGATTTAAAACTACTTTTATTGCCAGGATTAAGCGAAGATGATCCCAAAAATAAACTTATTTTAAAGACTATTAGAGAAACTTATTTACAAGGACCAATAGCACAAGACAAATTTTGGGTAAGTTAAAAAGTAAAAACAAAATTATTTTGTTATTCCTTTTCTTAATATTATCTGCTATTTTTGGCCTCGGGATAGAACCCTATCGCTTCTTTTAATCATACTTTTTTACCTATCGTAAATACTTTCATTTACTTATTGTTTTTACCATTTTTATACTTTTTTTTATTTGATCTAACTAGTTTATTTTTTGTTATCTTTTTCAAACTGTTGTCCTTCATAAAATTTTTGATTGCTTTTTTCTTATATTTTCTTAACACGTTAATGAATTTTTAGTTTATTTTATATACATATATTTATTTTTCTAGTAGCGGTTAAAAATTTATGATCGACAATATTTGGCGAATAGATAATGACACAATTCCCATTTTTTGGAATTGACAAACGAAATTCATGCTCTTGGTAAATGAATAAAAAATAACCACTGATCATGTTTTTCACATAAAATTGAACATATTTTTTATAGTCTACAAGCGGACATATTTTTTGCATGAGAAGGAGGTGGTAAATCTTCACATAAGGTAGTGACCCGCTATGGATGAAATAGCGTGTATTATATTCAGGGTGGAAGAGGCCACTCGCACGTCTACACAAACACATCCATTGCTCCCTGTCTCTACTAAACTAAATTCCACCCCCTCATGCAGACTACTTATCCCATCACATGAATAGCCTGTCTTAGTTCTTTCACTCTCTCACTTTCTTTCTCACTCTCTCTTTCTCCCAATTTCTTCCTCTTTCTTTTTTTTTGCAAATTCCTTTTTGAAAATGTCCTTGCTTTTCTTTTTAAAAATTTGAATTAATGCAATCAGTATTACTTTGCTTTTAGTATTTCCCTTCATTGCAACCTACATTACTCTGTTCGCACTTACCCTACCTACCTTCTTGTAATTATTTTTTGTCCTCGTTGAACATTCAGCACTCAAAAAATATACAGTAGGTGCAGTTTCTATCCGCAACCTTTTCTATCTTTTCCAGGTAAGCTCTAATGCAGCCTTGTAGGTACTGGGTGAAAAAGTAATTAGTGTCGCTGTAATTATCCTCCACTGCACCTTATCCATTCTGCGATATTTGGAATTAATACCTCCGCCCAAGTCACCCTATGCTCATTTGTCCATTCTTTGTGCCACTCCGTTATGCTCATATTCCTAGCTAATATTTTCTCCTACCCATCCTTCCCCTCGGTTCGTGCTCTTTCCTTCATTAGCAGTTGGATGGGTAACACACGTTCAACCATTTATCTGGCCACTGTTGATGTAGCTTTGTATGCACGTGCTACTTTGAGTGGTACTCAAACCGCAAATACATAAAAAAGAGTGCATGGATTATCACAGAGATAAATGAGGTTGGAACTAGAAACATCAGAAATCATTAAAAATCAAGAAGTTAGCATAAACACGCAGAAAGTAAAAAAATATATTTAAAAAGAATGTAAAACTAACGAACTAATCGTACTATTTAAACAAGCAAATAAAAAGCAACAAAAACCTATAATTTCGGTAAATACCACCCTAAAACTTACCTCTAAAATTCTGTAATAACAACTAATTTTAAAGATAAGCTTAGTAGACAAACAAAATTTTCGAACTGATAGATCGTGTATAGATATAAGATTCGTTATAACGCAAATTACCGAGATATCCTTAGAGTATGATAGGCTATGTTTCTACGTATGCTTGGCATAAAGGAAACATCCGGTAGAGAAATATTTGAAGATATATTACATTTTATGTATAATCAAGAGTTCCTTTGGAAAATATATACTAAAATATCAAGATTGAAGTCAGAATATATACAAATAACCTACGAAACCTATAAATAAAGACAACGTAATCAACGGAATAAGCCCCATGCTTTTAAATTTTAATATGTGTTTAGGATTTAACTTGAGAGGTCGCTGGTTAAGTTATATCAGATAAATAATTATAACGAAAAATGCAATATTTGTTTATACATAAGATTAGCGAAAATGGCAACTATAAATGGTGAATAAGTTATGAAATCAACTGGTTTACTCATTATTGTTGTTTTGTACAAAGAACAGACTTACCCTTTGAAGATATTAATGCCGTCTTAACAGGAATGAGGAGTTGGTCGTGATACCGACGCTAGCGTCGCCGCCGAGGCTCAGCACGAGAACCGTCCGAAACTAGGTCCGTGTTGATCGTTGTCTTATGAAAAAGTGCCAAATGCGTTGAGATGGTCAAAGCTAAGTAACCCTCTGAGCGGTGGTCCGAGAGGGTGTAGCAATAAATCGTTTCATTGTATTGCGACCTTTCCGATAATTTTAGCTAATTGTGACGGTAACACGAAACTTTACACTTGTGTGTATATTTTTGAACCATACAAAAGAGAAGCCAAATTCTCCGTATTCACAACATCATAAATGAGATATCCTAAGTTTTATGAGACAACAGGAAACAATATATTTCAAAAAGGTCTTTTAAAATACAGCACCAAATTAGATCACATTACAGTACCGTAACAGAAAAAATATTAACTGTAAAAATATGAAATGAATTCGCATATACTTTCCCAAACATTCTCCCGCTCCAAAAAGAATGTTTTTAAGAACAGCTAAAAGTATAAGTATAAAGAATAGACATGAAAAGATCGATATGCTAGTTAAGAACTAAGTAAGAATAAAATATGAATTAACAAATAAGCGGCGGTCATATTTTGACCACAGAACATTGTTGAATGCCATCTGAAACTGTGCTCAGATTAACAACGCGTACAATGTCATCAATTAGAAAAGAATAGCGTCGAATCGGTAAAATTTTTCGATCGGCTAAACTAGAAGGACTGTGTCAAACACAATACCGTTGGCCCCTTTTCCTATAAGAATTCCGTGGAGTGCGCAAAAAACAAGAAGAACAGCGTAGAAATCTCGGCGTGGTGTCGCATTTTAAGTCTGCAATGACAGCCTGGAAGTAATAATATTTTGACGAAATCCACGGTGGGAAAATGCCAGTTTGGTGAAGATTGTAATAATTGTGCCGGTGATAAAACACGACTACCACAATCAGAGCGGTGTTGATTAAAAGGCATATAATACCGAGTAGAGTGTGGTATCAGTTCTTGTATGTGTTTAATACGATTGACAATTTGTGGGTAAAAAAATTACTCAAGGGAGCGCAAGCGTAGACTCAGATCAAATATCGAAGGATCGGAAGGAAAACCCTATGACAAAGGTGACTTGATTAGCCAGCAATATGGCTACCAAGAGTTCCAATCTTGTCGAGACAGAGCGAGTATGAAAATTAGACTAGACTCGTTGACAAATGTGACTAGATCAGTCAGCCGTATAGCTGCCAAGAGCTCCGATCCTGCGATAAATGTTCGTGTATAGGAATAACACCAGAAATGTAACACATACAAATACAGAGGTCAGATGTATCTGTTCAGATGTTCCATGATCCCAGACTACATCAAAGTACCACAACGTTTGTAGATGACGTTTGACTAGCAAAAAGACATGGAAAAGGAATAAAAACAAAAGTATAATACCAAAAATACGACTGATTTACGAACGAATAGCCAACTTTGTATAGGGTTTGTCAAAGGGACAAGAAGCATGAGAAAAGAAGTCAGTCGTAGGATTCGATTTTAGGCCCAGTACCGTAAAAATGGAAAGTTACTCTGTGTTAACGAAGAACATGTCAAAATGTCTAGATCAAAGTTTTGCAAATAAATAAAGATGGTTGCTGAAACAATGTTGCTTTGTCTAGCGAAAAACCATCGAGCAAATAAATAAAGATTGTTGCTGACACGATGTTGCTTTGTCTAGCGAAAAATAAAGATGGTTTCTGACACGATGTTGCTTTGTCTAGCGAAAAATAAAGATGGTTGCTGACACAATGTTGCTTTGTCTAGCGAAAAATAAAGATGGTTGCTGACACAATGTTGCTTTGTCTAGCGAAAAACTATCGAGCTTTAAAAGCTAAGCGAGTGCTCACTGCAGAAATTGAGTAGTATTTCTGACGTAAGTCCGTCGAGATTGCTGCTGGCCCACTGCCTTGCGGAAAACCATCGTATCGTGCTTTAAAAGCTAAGCAAGTTCTCACCGCACAAGGTGAGTAGATCAAAGAAAATCACTCGAAGCGTGATTCTGACGTAGGTCCGTCGAGATGGCTGCTGGCCTACTGCCTAGCGGAAAACCATCGTATCATGATTTAAAAGCTAAGCAAGTTCTCACCGCACAAGGTGAGTAGATCAAAGAAAATCACTCGAAGCGTGATTCTGACGTAGGTCCGTCGAGATGGCTGCTGGCCCACTGCCTAGAGGAAACATAAGAATAACGAATGTATGCATAAGAATAACGAATAAGTAGCGAATATAAATAAGAGGAAACGATAAATAAAGAGAACTGGGTTGTAAAAACGGTGGAATAACAGAAAATCGGCTTGTCAACTTTTAGAAAATCAACAACTTAGAAATATTCTTCACGAGCTTGTTCGTGTTGGGACACAACTAACAGGTGCCTACTGTTTTCTACTTCCCAAAACCTTTGTAGTACAGATCCATGTTTGTGTACATAGAAGTAGCGAAAGATGTAAATAAAATATAGAATGAGTGGTAGAGACTCGCCTTCATAGAACATAATTGAAAATGATTTCTAAGGCCACAGTATGATTTTGTTCGCCAAAAATTCTGACCAGAATTTACGAAACAAGAAACCAATTCAACCCCTATGAGCATGTCCATAAAATCAAATTACAAAAGTGCGTGATTTGGTAGATCACTGAAATAAAATTGGCTGTGGAGCCTGTAATTATGTAATTATGTAAATAAAATTTAAAATAATGTTCGAAGTACCGAATTAGATTTAAATTAAAAAGAAACAAAAAAAAACAATTAAAATGAATTAATTGAACCACAATGAAAGTAATTGAATCAAAGTTATAATTATTTATAATTCGGCTCGAAGTGATCAAAATGTTTAGGATTAAACTTGAGAGGTCGCTGGGTAAATTATATCAGATAAATAATTATAACGA